TCCTTTAATTCTTACACACTCTTTACTTACATTATCATCATCATCAAAACTAAGCGCCAAACCCTCTACTTTTTTTTTTTCAACAAGTCAGCCGTCTCCCACCGAGGCAGGGTGGCCCAAAAAGAAAGAAAATCCCCAAAAAGAAAATACTTTCATTATCATTCAACACTCTCACCTCACTCACACATAATCACTGTTTTTGCAGAGGCGACAGTCAGCGCCTGCACAGGCAATAGCGAAATCATCAACATAGAGTGATGACCAAATATTTGATGGAAGACTAGAGGCCAAATCATTTACAGCAAGGACAAAAAGTGTTGTGCTCAGAACACATCCCAGGGGTACACCTTCAGCTTGGATAAAGTCCGGGGAGAGCACATTATTAACACGAACATGGAAATGCCTGTCAGTTAAAAAGTTCTTAAGGAAGGATGGTAGATTGCCTCAGAGGCCTAAGGAGTGGGCTTGGGCTAAATATTATACCTCCAAGTTGTGTCATATGCCTTCTCAAGGTCAAAAAATATGGCAATAACCGAGTGGTTATTCACAAAGGCATTACAAACATACGTATCCAAGCGTATTAAGGGGTCTATGGTAGAACGTCCCTTACGAAAGCCATATTGACGAGTGGAGAGACTGTTGTGTGTCTCTAAATACATACCACACTAAACGTCTATTTACCAGGCGTTCCATCACTTTGCAAACTGCACTGGTAAGAGCAATGGGATGATAGTGGGAGGCTTCATGTCCTGTAGTGCCTGGTTTGAGGAAAGGGAGAACAATGGTAGATTTCCACAGCTGTGGAAGAACTCCTTGTGACCAAACAATATTGTAAAGGCATAATAGGACTGCAAGGGCTGACTGATGTAAATGTTGTAGCATACGAATATGAATGTCGTCGGGCCCAGCTGCCGATGATCGGCAAGCTGAGAGTGTTGCCTCCAGTTCTTGAAGTGTAAAAGGCACATTATACTGTTCTTCTCTGGGAGAAGAAAAGTCCAAGGGTGCTAACTCTCTGGCAGACTTTGAGGAAAGAAACGAGAGGCATAGATGGAGCCCCTGAGAAATACGGACCAGATGATTGCCAATTTCATTGGCAACATCTAGTAGGTTTGCTATATTAACACCGGTAACCCGCAGAACAGGAGCTGGGTCAGGAGAATATTTACCACTCAGTTTTCGTACTTTTTTCCAGACTGCACTCAGAGGAAGCAGAGGTGATGGTGGAGACATAATCTCACCAGCAAGTGCGTTTAGCGTCACGGATGACACGGCGAGCGATCACACGCTTCTGCTTAAAATCAAGAAGTCTCTCCGTGGTTCTATTGTACCGGTACCTGCCCCATGCAGCGCGTTTCAAACGTACTGCACGAGCACAAGCAGGAGACCACGAAGGCACGCATTTCTGAGAATGCCTGCCCGAAGTTTGGGGTATAGAATGAGAAGCTGCGGTTAAAATGGAGTGTAAAAGCTCATCAATGGAGGACAAACAAGGAACCTCACTAAAAACAGTTAGTTGTGAGTAAAGGTTCCAATTTGCCTGATCAAATTGCCAGCGTGGGATACGAAGAGGTGGTGAATATGAAGGGGAAGTAAGAATGATTGGGAAATGACCGCTGTCATGTAAATCCGGGAGAACAGACCAGGTGAAGTCTTATGCGGTGGAGGAGGAGCAGACTGAGAGATCGATGCAAGAGTGTGTGTGAGTCCGAGGGTCAAAATGGGTGCGAGTACCTGTATTTGAAACATGGAGGGGGTGGGTGGCAAGAAAAGCCTCTAACTGAATGCCACGGGAATCACAGTGAGACCCCCCCCCCAGAGGAAATGATGGGCATTAAAATCGCCAAGTAACAGAAACAGTGGCGGTAATGACGAAACAAGGAAGGCAATATCCGGAATAGATAATGCCCGAGAAGGAGAGAGATATAAAGAACAGAGCATATACCACCTATGCAAGTGGATACGGGCTGCTGTGTAATGCAGCAAAGTACGAACAAATAGCTGATGGTACGGAATATCACTGCGTAGAAGAAAGGCACTTTCATTAAAGGTCCCATCAGGAAAAGGATCTGAAGAATACAATAAATTATAGCCTGAGAAGGGAGAGATAACAGCAGAGTGTAATTTTGGTTCCTGTAAGCAAACACCAACAGGGGAAAACTGGGAGAGTAACATCTGAAGCTCACCCTGATTACCCCTCAGGCCGCGTATATTCCACTGTAAATAGGCCATGATTGGCAATGATAAAGATACCGGAAATCCGCAGGTAAGGGTTCCTACGGACTAGAGGGGTTAGAAAAGTCCACATGCGGAGGCAGCAGAAAACGTTCAAGCAGCGAAGGAACGGTGCGCTGTGAAGAAAGGAGTTGAGCAGATGGAGGAGAGGAGAGAGAAGGAACAGAGGGTGGATCAGTGTCCATTGATGGTTTGGTCTCTGCAATATATTCAGAGATTGCTTCAAGTGTTTCGGAATTCAGAGACGTCATATGGGAGACAAAACTGGAGATAGCAGGGGGAGGATGAGTAAAGATTGGAACTGTAATGGACTGTACCAAAGTAAGGGAGGGGCAAAAGGGTGGAGGGAACTGGAGAAGCGTGGAAGGGGACAGAAGAGGCAGAAACCTGGGAGGTGGCAGAAGAGGAAGAAACTTGGGAGGGAACAGGGGAGGAAGGTACAGTACGAGGAGGGTGAACCTCTACACTTGTAACAGAGCCAGTGAGAGGGGAAGAACCAGGTACAGAGACAGGGAAGGTAAAATGAGGAGGTGGAAGAAGGGAAGGAGGGGTTAAAGGACTTTATTTTGACTTCTGAGAAGTAGAGGGACGATTGGGAGGAGGTGTCGTACGAGATCTCGTCAATACTGAGGCTTGTGAGGGAGAACACGAAGAAGCGAGAACAGACTGAGGCTTTGAAGTAGGGACATCTGAGCCTAGGACAGCAAAAGAATTAGATACAGGATTGACTATGGGAGAGGTAACCACAGAGAAGGCTGCAGAAGATGGGACCCCAGAAGTGGGGGACGTTTTGAAACACGGGAATAAGAAACACGAGGTAGTCTCACTTGGAGGCGGAGATGAGAAACTGCCATGGCATAAGGGAGACCTTCTGCCTCTTTGAGGTAACGGATTTCCTGCTCATTTAAGTAGACTTGGCAACGGCGAGAGTATGAAGGGCGAGCCTCATGACAAGTAAGGCAAGAGGGAGGTCGATTGCAAGACGTATTTGAATGGTCATCGGCACCACAGACTGGGCATTCGGCTATAGATCTGCAATATTTCGCTGGATGGCCAAATCGCCAGCAATTTCTATACTGTTGCGGTGTAGGGATCACCTTTCGAACTTGTAACCGATGTCCTGCTACATAAACTGAGGATGGGAGTTCACGGCTGTCAAAAGTTAACAAAAGTTAAACGAGCCACATTGCTAGGGTATCGTCTCCGCCCGCGGGCAGGAAGAACATAAGCGTCTACCTTGAGGATTGGGAGATCTTGGAGTTCCAGCTGTTCAAGAATGTCATTGCCACATGTCTGGAAATTTTGTTGAACTATGGTATGGGGCAGAATGACGGTACCACTACAAGAATTGAGGGAATGATGTTTTTCAACAGTGACAGGAACAGTATCGATATGGGAAAGAAGAGAAAGATCATGAGCTTGGGTAGCATTCTGTACAGTGATGATGTGCGTACCGCTCTTAAGAGCATGAAAAGAAATATCTTTACCAACATGGCATAGGAGTGCCTGGCCAATACTGTGGTCGGAAATATAGGCAGTAGAGGAAGTCGGTCGTAAAGTGAAGAATTTAGTCCATTGTGCATTCTGAAACTGAGTGTGGAAAGGGAGTGCAGGACGTGTCAATCTTTTCTGAGAAGAACGAGAGGGTGGAGAAGTATCATCAGCAGGTAACTGTCGTTGGCGTTTAGGAGTGGGACCAGAGTTGGTCCGACGTGGAACGGGCTGGCGATTCGAAAATTGCCGCACCGTAGAGGGAGAGGCCGGAAGCATAGTCTGAGAAGAGCGGAGGTCAGATAAATCGAAGGAGTCAGTCGAGACCTCAGTACCTGAAGCGGGCGAGGAAACAGCATCGGAAAGAGGTACAGAGGCATGAGGAGTGTAGGAAGAGTGGTCCAAAGACGAGGCGGGGTCAGAACGGGGTGCGGTATCAAGAAGGGGACCGGAGGTAGCAGGTTCATGGACTAGGGCTGCCATGGTTAGGTTACTTCTTAATTTTTGTTTTTAAGAAAAAAAAAATAAAATAAAAAAAAAAATAAAAAAAAGAATAAAAAAAGGGGGGACCGGGGAGGGATAGTTCCTAGGAGGAATGAAAGGGCCAGAAATCTCCCTCCGCTCCCAAGAGGACCTCAGCACCGCTAGTAGCGCAGATGCAGCATGGAACCCGTGCCATACCCTACCCATCATGCCAGTAAACCAGCAATCTGGGATAGAAACCTCACATCTGCCGAGCTACCTCTGTGGACAAAAGAGAGGGCGGCTGGATATCCGCCACAAAGCATACCTCCTTCGGCCACCACCCCTGGAATCCGAAAAGTGGCTTCCAGAGATACACCCGTCGCCTGAGAGACACCCAAAGCCACCCTCCGGGATACCAGAGAGGCATCGGGACATCCCCAGGCAATCCAGATTCCACGGCAAACTACGCCACCGGCAAGAACCTCAACGGAATGGGATGGACCCCGGTACCCTTTCCCCTACCTAGGAACTAGCGTGCCTGTGGGAAAAAATCCCGAAGGCCAAAAAGGAAGGGCAAAAGGGAGGGGTGGGGAGGAGGAGGAGGAAAGGAAAAAGGGGAGGATGGGATAGGGAAGGGGGGATTGGGGGGTCATTAGGTTCGGTCTGAGGAAGGAGACCGACAGGTCTAATTCCTCAGACCAAGAGCCTCTTCACCACAACAAGGAGCCCCCCTTGAAGAGGTAAAGCTAGGATAAAAGGATTTTTTCTTGCAAATTAATACAATTCAAGAACCCATTTTATGCACATTAATATTTTTTTACAATTTATTTCCAGAGATTTCTAAATATATATTTTTCAACACCATAATGTGTGTGCTCCAGCTTAAAGATTCAACCTATACTAAGGTATAATCAATAGTTGTAAAATTTATGAAACATTTTTACAAAATATCAATCACAAATAGGTTTTATACAAAGCCTATGAAGGAACATATTTGGTCCTTTTTTATTAAAAAATATTCAACATTTCATTAGACAATAATTTGCAATTTTTTATAGCTAAGTTCTTTATATAAATATATAGAAAACTCAATTATGCAAGTAAACTAAAATACAGTATTATTTATATTTCCTAATAATCATTATTTTTATTGGAGATTTGCATGATAATATTGCTCATCAAATTCAAGAAAAATATAATTAGATTCAAATTGACAGGCATACACTCACTTGTTTCACCAAAACCAATTTTAAAATATGCTTAAGAATGTCATACAAAATAATTATTTACTTAGCTTCAAAACACTAGTCTGTAAGGTCCAGCTGAAGATAAACCTATTATGTGATATACACTAAAATGCCTATTTGTACCAAAATTTATGCATCTCCTTAAGTAACAATGATGGAGGAAGCCAAAACTAATTTTCAGATTGTTTAACTTATGCATTTAAGAAATCTTAGTTTAGTATCTTCTCAATGTGGTAATTATTGAAATTGAAAATGCATTAGCTAACATCACCATTTGACTTCTTTCTTATACTCTTCATTAACAGAGAACCTCTTGACAGACTCATAACCAAGGATGATTGTGAATGAGAATATCACTGACTGGAACAGCCGAGGAGATAGACCCTTAGTGAAGACTCCCATATGTTCTTCTGACCAGAGAATTCGAAAAGTATGTCCAAAGCTTCCAGTTCTCTGCACCTTTAAAGAAAATATGAAAGGGCTGAATGAAAATTAAATGTAATTTTTGAGTTTTAATCATGATATTTTAAAACTTATGCAACCTACATTAAAAAATTTTTTATGTACAGTACTGAAGTGAAATTTTCACAAATGAAACTAATAATTAAAAAACTGTAGAATGAAATCTGGGGAGAAAGAAATGCTGAAATCTGTTGATTTTATACCAATGATAAAAGATTGGCCGATGATGAATTAATAATATTACAGTAGTGTACAATAAGAGTAATGTAAATCAGAGATGAAAGTGGCTGGTACACTTAAAACACTAGTTAGAAAGACACAAACTGGACACATGAGTGAGTGACGGCATGATTATTCTAATATGAATGTGGAACACTTGTGTTACGAGCCTGAAGAACCAAGGGTTAGAGCAGTAGAAACGGACAACCTGAGATACTGATGAAAGGTTAGGATACATGAAATAACTAATGGAAATGGTAAAAAACATGTGGAATGTGACTCTGAATGATTAAGAACTGAGCTACAATGGAATAATCATACTGAGTAGATAGATAATAGTAATGAAGAAAGACGATTGGAAGTAGAAACTGTTCTTTAGAGATTTCAGCATCTTTTGTTGCCAGCATGGCCTCAAACCTTGAAGTTAATTCCTCAGAACTATAGGAGTCTCCTGCTTCTTTTTCCCTCAAATCATGCAACCTCTTCCACACAATATTCAAGTATGGGAAAGTGTACTGGGAAGATGGAGGAAATATTCTGAGGAGCTGTTAAATGTTGATGAAGAGAGGGAGGCAGTGATTTCATGTGAAACTCAGGGAAGTATATCATACTTTAGGAGTGAGGAAGAGCAAGATGAGTGTGTGGGAAGATGTGTTAGACAGTGGGTAAAATGAAAAGGGGTAAAGCAACTGGGATTGATGGGATTAAGACAAATGTTAAAAACAGGTGGGGATATAGTTTTGGAGTGGTTGGTGCATCTGTTCAACAAATGTATAAAAGGTGGGAAGGTACCTAGGAATTATATAAGGGAAAAGAGGATAAGAGTGTGTGTAAGAATTATAGAGGAAGAAGTCTGTTGAGCACACCAGGTAAACTGTATGATAGAGTTATTATTTAAATAATTATGGGTAAGACAGAGAGCAGGATCACAGATGAACAAGAAGGTTTTAGACAGGATAGGGCACGTGCTGACCAAGTGTTTACATTGAAGCATGCAAGTGAACAATATTTAGATAAAAGATATGAAGTTTTTGTTACATTAATGGATTTAGAAAAGGTGGGAGACGGCCGACTTGTTGAAAAAAAAAAAAAAAAAAAAAAATATGATAGGATGGATAGGAGCACAATGTGGCAGATGTTTCAAGTGTATGGAATAGGTGGCAGGTTATCTAAGTCAGTTAACAGTTTTTATGAGGAGGGCAAGGATCAGGTTAGAGTATGAAGGAGAGAAGGAGATTATTTTCCAGTTAAAGCAGGCCTTAGACAGGTATGCGTGTTGTTACCATGGGTGTTTACAATATTTATACATGGGGTTGTAAAAGAAGTGAATATTAAGATGTTGGGGATAGGGGTGGGATTAAAACAAGGAATCTAATACAAAGTGGGAGTTGCCACATTTGCTTTCTGCTGATGAAATGGTGCTTTTGGGAGATTTTGAAGAGAAATTGCAGACTGGTAGATGAATTTGAGAGACTAAGTGAACATAGGAAAGAGCAAGGTGATGAGAGTAACAAAAAATTTAGGTAATGAAATGTGGATATCAGATTGGAAGAGGGAAGTAGGGAGGCAATAAAAGCATTCAAATATTTGGGAGTGGACTTGTTAGTAGATGGGTCTGTGAAAGATGAGGTAAACCACAGAACTGACAAGGGAACAAAAGGTGGCTGGTGCACTGGGGCATCTGTGGAGACGAAGAATGTTATCCATGGAGGAGTACACTCTTAGACGAGTGTGAACCATGGATTTTAAACACCACAGCAAGGAGGCGGCTGGGGGCAATACAGATCTTATGTATGAGGGCAATGTTTGATGTGAATACTGTACAAAGAATTCATAGTTTGAAGATTAGGTGTTGTGGGGTTACTAAAGTATTATCCAGATGACTGAGGAGGAGTTGTTGAGGTGATCTGGGCATTCAGAGATGGAGCAAAATTGGATGACTTGGGTGTATCATCCTAGGGTAGGGATCATCCTAGTAAAAGGCTGGAGGAAGGGATTCAAGGTTTAGTATGCAAGGAGCTTGGGCATCTGACAGGCATGTGTGAACATATTAGATAGGATTGAGTGGTTGCAAGTGACTTTTATAACTTGATGTGTTGTTGGAGTGTGAGCAAGATAACATTTATGAAAGGATTCAGGGAAAACTGGTTAGCTGGATTTGAGTCCTGGAGGCAGGAGGTACAGTGCCCACACTCAAAATGAGGGGTGGGGGTTACTGCAGTTTGGAGAGGCATTTGAGCTGTAGTGTCAGTTAAACATATGGCAAAATGGTGATGGAGTGTGATAGTGAAAGTGCTTCTTTTTCGGGCAACCCTATCCTGGTGTGTTTAAAAAAAAAAAAAATTGAAGGAAACCTTGAAACTCCTTGCTCAGTACTATTACTAGAAACTAGTAAAATCAAAGGAAAGCACTGTCATGTGAACAGGGAGAAATCTATGAGAGTGAAATGCAAACCCAGTATGAGGAGGTGGCACATCATTTTACTTCACCCAAAAACAGAAAAACGTTTATACATGGACCCTCTATCTAAATTCTGACCAACAAGCACCATCAAGAGGAATCAACTAAAACATTACCTTGCATTTTTTAATTTGTGTGTGCCCCTAGCATACCTTTCAGTATGAATGGTAAGGGAAAGGGGAAGGTAGATAACCTGCACATAAAATCATTTAACCCTTTAAGGGTTGGTGCTATACTAGTATGGCGTGCACGCCAGGGTTGGTGCCGTACTAGTATGCATAAATTCTAGCGCCTTCAAATCTAGCGAGAGAAAGCTGGTAGGCCTACACATGAAAGAATGGGCCTATGTGGTCAGTGTGCACAGTATAAAAAAAAAATCCTGCAGCACACAGTGCAGAATGAGAAAAAAAACTCCGACTGTGTTTTTGGTTTAAAACAGAAATGTTCGATTTTTGCCAAAGTTCAAAAGTAAACAAAACATGCCGCGAGTCCAATTCATGTCAACTGGTGAGTCTAATATTCTTTCACAAGTGCGCTGATATTATTTATACCATTTCTACACCATTTCTACACTAATGCAGTAGTCTGCATTTTGTGAGAATAAAAATTCAAAGTGGAAAGCAAAAGAAATGTAAGAGGCCTGGGGATGTGACTAATAAACAGAGAAAATGTTATTTTAGTGCTAGGAATGTCTGTCTTGTTTATTCTGGACCCTATTTGGAAATTGGCATCTTTTGAAATTTATATGAAATTGGCAAAATTGCCAATTTCTGACCACTTTATTGGATAGTTGAAATCGGTAAATGGGTGGTTTCTTGTACTCATTCGATAGAAAAAATGGAGTTCTAGCAAAATAGTTATGATTTTTGTCAATTGGTACATTGGAATTGGACGAAAATAGGGCTAAAATTTGGGGCGAAATCGCCGATGCGTAAACATCGTCGAGACCTCTAACTTCACGAGAGCATAATTCTGTAAGTTTTCCATCAAATTTCATACTTTTGGTGTCATTATGATCGGGAAAAGATTCTCTATCATTCCAAAGGAAAAAATTATTTTTTTTTTTAAATTTCGGACCCTGAGAACAAGTTTAGGAGAGGGCCTGCCAACCCTGCAAGGGTTAAGATATTAGTTCAATACAATTTATGCTAATATAAGCACCTTTGGGAGACTAATTCACAAGTCCTCTAAACTGACCTGTAATCTGGCCCTCACAGTGTCCAGAGGATTGGTTAAAAGAACAGTTGTAACTCCCCCAAGAGGTGCTGCAACACACTGAAGTAACAGTGTTGATGTCCCTTCAGGAGAAATATGAGCTAATTTGTCTGCAAATAAACAAATTATTAATAAAATTATTTTTCCAAAATCTGTTATAATGTTTAACTTGTTCCACATTATAAAATATTTTTCTTTTGTGTATGGGCATATTTTCCTCCAATAAGCTGGTCAAACAAAAGTGTATGCCACACATACCTGTTTCAAACTGACTACACAACTTGACAGCAATAGTGAAGAAGTAAAGAAAGTTTATTTATGAACACCTTATACATGTATTAGCCTAGGTTCTGACAGCGTCAATAAAATAGTGATTGTTTCAGGGGTTTTCCTACTCCCAGCCTGGCTCCATGCTAATCAAATTAAATTACAATCTTCATTCATCTCTTTGTAGTATATTTCAAGTAAATTTTTGCTTAATGACTAGGCCTCAAACAGATTCACACTGGGCACTCAAATCAATAGTTTAGTCGAGTCCTTCTTGGGCTTCAAAACACTTCCAGAGATTACGACAGGAAAACATTTAGCTGATATTTGGGCGAAAGACAAGTTAACTAGCCAATGAAGAGTGCTAAATTTTTATCCATTTTTTTAACACGCTGGCCATCTCTCACGGAGGCAGGGTAACCCAAAAAAGAAACACTTTCACTATCATTCACTCTCACTGTCTTGCCAGAGGCACACAGATACAACAGTTCAGATGTTCCTCCAAACAGCAAATATCCCAAACTCCTCCTTTAGAGTGCAGGCACTGTACTTCCCACTTCCAGGACTCAAGTCTAGCTAACTGGTTTCCTTGAATCCTTTCACAAAATATTACCTCACACTCCCAACTCATTAGGTCCCAAAAACCATTCATCTTCACTCACTCCAATCTAGCATGCTCATATATGCCTGCTGTATGTCCAATATCTAATAAACATATTAATATGACATTTAACTTGCTTTATCATTCTTGATGAAAAGTTCCCAGTTGACGTGTTTTTTTTTTTTTCAACAAGTCAGCCGTCTCCCACCGAGGAAGGGTGACCCAAAAAGAAAGAAAATCCCCAAAAAGAAAATACTTTCATCATCATTCAATACTTTCACCTCACTCACACATAATCACTGTTTTTACAGAGGTGCTCAGAACACAACAGTTTAGAAGCATATACGTATAAAGATACACAACATATCCCCCCAAACCACTAATATCCCGAGCCCCTCCTTTAGAGTGCAGGCATTGTACTTCCTATTTCCAGGACTCAAGTCCAGCTATATAAAAATAACCAGTTTCCCTGAATCCCTTCACTAAATATTACCCTGCTCACACTCCAACAGATCGTCAGGTCCCAAATACCATTTGTCTCCATTCACTCCTATCGAACACGCTCATGCACGCCTGCTGGAAGTCCAAGCCCCTTGCCCACAAAACCTCCCTTACCCCTTCCTTCCAACCTTTTCGAGGACAACCTCTACCCCGCCTTCCTTCTACAGATTTAAATGCTCTCCATGTCATTCTACTTTGATCCATTCTCTCTAAATGACCAAACCACCTCAACAACCCCTCTTCAGCCCTCTGACTAATACTTTTATTAACTCCACACCTTCTCCTAATTACCACACTCCGAATTTTCTGCATAATATTTACACCACACATTGCCCTTAAACAGGACATCTCCACTGCCTCCAATCGCCTCCTCGCTGCTGCATTCACAACCCAAGCTTCACACCCATATAAGAGTGTTGGTACTACTATACTTTCATACATTCCCTTCTTTGCCTCCATAGATAACATTTTTTGACTCCACATATACCTCAACACACCACTCACCTTTTTTCCCTCATCAATTCTATGATTAACCTCATCCTTCATAAATCCATCTGCGGCACGTCAACTCCCAAGTATCTGAAAACATTTTCTTCCATACTCCTCCTCCCCAATTTGATATCCAATTTTTCATTATCTAAATCATTTGATACCCTCATCACCTTACTCTTTTCTATGTTCACTTTCAAATTTCTACCTTTACACACACTCCCAAACTCATCAACTAACCTTTGCAATTTTTCTTTAGAATCTCCCATAAGCACAGTATCATCAGCAAAAAGTAACTGTGCCAATTCCCATTTTGTATTTGATTCCCCATAATTTAATCCCACCTCTCTCTCGAACATCCTAGCATTTACTTCTTTTACAACCCCATCTATAAATATATTAAACAACCATGGTGACATTACACATCCCTGTCTAAGACCTACTTTTACCGGGAAGTAGTCTCCCTCACTTCTACACACCCTAACCTGAGCCTCACTATCCTCATAAAAACTCTTTACAGCATTTAGTAACTTACCACCTATTCCATATACTTTCAACATTTGCCACATTGCTCCCCTATCCACTCTATCATATGCCTTTTCTAAATCCATAAATGCAATAAAAACTTCCCTACCTTTATCTAAATACTGTTCACATATATGCTTCAATGTAAACACTTGATCTACACATCCCCTACCCACTCTGAAACTTCCTTGTTCATCCGCAATCCTACATTCCGTCTTTCCTCTAATTCTTTCAATAATAACCCTACCGTACACTTTTCCTGGTATACTCAGTAAACTTTTTTTTTTTTTTTTCAACAAGTCGGCCGTCTCCCACCGAGGCAGGGTGACCCAAAAAAGAAAGAAAATCCCCAAAAAGAAAATACTTTCATCATCATTCAACACTTTCACCACACTCACACATTATCACTGCTTTTGCAGAGGTGCTCAGAATACAACAGTTTAGAAGCATATACGTATAAAGATACACAACATATCCCTCCAAACTGCCAATATCCCAAACTCCTCCTTTAAAGTGCAGGCATTGTACTTCCCATTTCCAGGACTCAAGTCCGACTATATGAAAATAACCGGTTTCCCTGAATCCCTTCACTAAATATTACACTGCTCACACTCCAACAGATCGTCAGGTCCCAAGTATCATTCGCCTCCATTCACTCCTATCTAACACGCTCATGCACGCTTGCTGGAAATCCAAGCCCCTAGCCCACAAAACCTCCTTTACCCCCTCTTTCCAACCCTTTCGAGGACGACCCCTACCCCTCCTTCCTTCCCCTATAGATTTATATGCTTTCCATGTCATTCTACTTTGATCCATTCTCTCTAAATGACCAAACCACCTCAACAACCCCTCTTCTGCCCTCTGACTAATGCTTTTATTAACTCCACACCTTCTCCTAATTTCCACACTCCGAATTTTCTGCATAATATTTACACCACACATTGCCCTTAGACAGGACATCTCCACTGCCTCCAACCGTCTCCTCGCTGCTGCATTTACCACCCAAGCTTCACATCCATATAAGAGTGTTGGTACTACAGTGGACCCCCGCATAACGATTTTAATCCGTGCAAGAGGGGTAATTGTTATGTGAAATAATCGGTATGTGAATGAATTTTCCCCATAAGAAATAATGGAAATAAAATTAATCCGTGCAAGACACCCAAAAGTATGAAAAAAAAAATTTTTTACCACATGAAATATACATTTTCCCACACACAAAGAGAAGGATACATGCACAATAGTAGAGTAGTACATGCACAGTATATATTGTGCATGTACTAGTCTACTAAATGAAGAATAAATGACACTTATCTTTATTGAAGATGCAGCAATGACTGATGAGACACTGTGTCCTGGGAGTGCCTTTTCCTCCTGAGTACTGTAGGTCCTGTTTGGCATTTTCTTCCAGAACAGGCCTTATCACACTGTGTATGCCACTACGATTCTTAAATCTCTCAAACCAACCTTTGCTGGCTTTAAATTCACCAATATGAGCACTAGTTCCAGGCATTTTTCCCTGTTCACCTGGGTGTTAGTCGACTTGTGTGGGTTGCATCCTGGGAGACAAGATTAAGGACCCCAATGGAAATAAGTTAGTCTTCGATGACACTGACTTTTTTGGGTTATCCTGGGTGGCAAATCCTCTGGGGTTAATTGTTTCTTGGTATTCTCAATAAGCCACACCAACAACAGTGCTACAGCAGCAGCAGCAGCTGACGGTGGTACAGCAGCAACAGACGATGCTACAGCAGCAACAGACGGTGTTACAGCAGCAGCAGACGATGCTACAGCAGCAGCAGCAGCTGACGGTGGTACAGCAGCAACAGACGATGCTACAGCAGCAACAGACGATGTTACAGCAGCAGCAGACGATGCTACAGCAGCAGCAGCAGCTGACGGTGGTACAGCAGCAGCAGACGATGCTACAGCAGCAGCAGCAGCTGACGGTGGTACAGCAGCAACAGATGATGCTACAGCAGCAGCAGGACGATGCTAGCAGCAGCAGCGTGGACGGTGGTAACAGCAGCAACAGCAGACGATGCTACAGCAGCAACAGACGATGCTACAGCAGCACAGACGATGTACAGCAGCAGCAGCACAGCAGCACAGTTGCAGCAGCAGCAGCAGCTGACAGTGCAGCAGCAGCAGCAGCTGACAGTGCAGCAGCAGCAGCAGCTGTACCACCAATAGTAGCGATGGTTGATTGGGTTTATTATACAACCTGGCCAGCTCGAGACACGCACTCCACTTTCATACTTATCAATGGTCTTTTTCTTCATCTCTATTGTAATTCTCACCCTTATTGCTGTAGGGTTGGCACTAGAAGCTTTCTTGGGGCCCATGGTCACTTATTTTCCAGAAAAAGCACCGAAAACACTGTAATAATACGAAATATTCCGATTGTATGCTTGGATGTTACCGCGGAGGCTGGCTGGTAAACAATGCCACCGGCGGAACATGTGAGCGTGGCTCAAGCCGCACATTGGACGCGTCTCGGCCGAAAATCGGTGAGCGGGTTTTTAAGGGGTATGTGAGGCAAAATTTTGGCGATTAAAGCAAGCGGTATGCGGATTAATCGCTATGTGATGCCATCGGTATGCGGGGGTCCACTGTACTATACTTTCATACATTCCCTTCTTTGCCTCCATAGATAACGTTTTTTTGACTCCACATATACCTCAACGCACCACTCACCTTTTTTCCCTCATCAATTCTATGATTAAC